CAGCTTCGAAGCCAAAAAATATGAAGGCAAAGACAAAACAGATAATGAGTGTGCCTGACTTTTCAGCTATCTTGTTGCATAATAGTTTAGGTCCTTGTTTATATACTGAGTTTGCTAATATATTTTAATTTTATTTATTTTACTACGTAAATTATAGTTTATCTATAAACTTTCATGAATTTGCCGAGTGACAAAATAAAACTACGACCTTGTTTGTTTGCGTGTAGGTTGTTATATTCATTTTCCACCTTTGTTTGAATCTTGATCCTCCCGTGGTTTCTGTTAGAAAATAGTCGGCCTGACAGTCGACCGGTGGCTGTTGATTAACTAACCATGTTGTCATTACAGGTTATGATAATCCATCTCTGAATAGGTTGCTATATTTTCTTTTGTTAAACGACGTTTATTCTTCCATGGTAACTTTGCGTTTTCAGTTAATCCTTATTGCATCATCAAGTGTGACGGATCGACCGTCCGAACGCCGATCTGTAAAGAGTGCGCGGACCCTGTGTGGGATATGAAATGCGTGTTTGTTCGCAAGCGTACGGAGAAGCCCGTGAAAATTGACGTAAGTCATTCCACGTCATCTTCATATCAGTGCAGTGACCTATAAAGTAAATTCCATAGAGTATGAAAAAATATTTTTATTAAACAGAGCCGACGAATCTTTTATCTGTTTATGAAAACCTGTCCATTTCAGTAATTTCTTAAATACTTTGCTTTCGGTTTTCATGGATTACTTTAAGGAATGAAGCCATGAATCTATTCTGCATCTAAAAATATTGACCGCACAGAAAGGCGATAGACCGCTTTTCAACTGCTATAAATTTACATTTACACATTGCACTGATCTTTATTATTTATGCACTATCAGGTGGGTCAAGTCAATTTGCAACCATAAAGTACACGCATCAAGCGGCATGACCGTATATCTAGCACACTTTTACATGACCACACCAATACACGATGCTGTGCCTATTATTCGCAAGTCGGCATCTTGCTACTGATTTTTGTGCTTGTCGTTCCGAAACGGTGATGTGAATTCTTTGCTCAAGAGAATTAGCTGTTAATAAGACAAAATTTACGCCGGGCTTTCGGTTTGAATTCGACATTCTAACGCACAGAACATCCTAATTCATCGTACCACTGCATTCCGTCCGTAAATTTTGTTCATCTTCAACACGATTTTGCCCATGACATTAATTTAGATCATAAACAACTGTCTTTTTTATTCATCGCATAGCAGGAGAAATCCGTTGGAAAACCGGAATTAACGTGGTTTGGCGATTACTACTCTAAGATGTCATAAAAATTGTAGTCTCGACCATTTCAGTAAATTTATATAGTTTATAAAATTAAATGTGATCTTTCTACTACCAGTTACGCCTACAAGACATTTAGGTGTTTTAACAACGCGCGGTTATCAGTGCGATCACAAACCACCCCACTGAACATTCAGGAGTTGCGAGCACGCCTTGATAAGCATGGATTTACCGTAGCAAACGTCTCGAGGGACAGTGGTGCAGTTTTTACACTACATAGTTTGCTTGACAAACAGTTGAACGGATTCGCCTCGTCTTTCAGAAATATCGCTTTCGGGTTCCAGCGCCGCATAAAATTTTCGTTACTGGTAATTCTGTTGAGAAGGAGTTCATTCTTGCGCTTTGGTCAAGCAGTCGAATAAGACTGGTAATGTCGTTCTAATAAGTACACCGTTGTTCTGGACATGTCGAA